CATGGTGAGCATTCATCATATTTGCTACAGGAAAAAAGAAAAAGTATATATATATATATTTATAAAGCTCAGCAAGGTCATTACAGAAAGCAGTAATACCACTAAATGAATAGAAATAAATGGAATCAGAAAAAAATGTTTGTGGGTGTGCTTGTGCATATAGATGTATAGATAGGAGTTAACACACACTTTGGCACATATGATTACAGTGAAACCTCTATCCATCGTTCCCGGAACTATCGTTTTCCCGGATGCATCGTCCGTTTTGTTCGGTCCCGAATACATCCCATATAAAATAATGTTACATTTTCCCGCTTCTATCGTTCCTCGAACTATCGTTTTATCGCATCGATCGTTCAAAAATCGTAGTCCCGGCCCACAATTTTCCCGCAATGATCGTTTCTGAGAAATTGTAACGAAATTTACGTGATATTTTTAGAATTTAATTCCGAAAGACGCACAATGTTTTTGGAATAAACAGTAGCGGTAACCTGTTATGTCGCCCAACCAGCACATTCTTTTGGAATGAGGGTCAGCGGTGCAGGGGTGATAGTTGGAGTGAATGGCGGTGCCCATTGTCAGAAATTGAGTTCGGCAGTAATAGTATTTCCATTCTTCCTGTTATTGTCCGCAAAGGGGGTTGGAGTGGTGAGGAAGAGGAAGACGACGAATGCGAGCCCGAAGCTTTGCCGAAGCACACGCTGCATTGGCGAAAGTGAAGTCGTTCTTTTATGCGCTTAATATTAGTGAACGTGACGAAGAAAACATTTTGAACGTGGAAAGAGCTCTGTTTGGCCTAAAACGTAAAGTTTCGACAAACCAGTTGTCCATTAAATACTTTTTTGGTAAAAAGAAGTAACTTTGAAAGAGAAACATTGTTTTTTTTAAAATTTTTAATGCTTTCCCGCATCTATCTTTTCCCGAATTCATCGTTTTTATTTCCCACCCCCGCCGAAAACGATGCATCGAGGTTTCACTGTATTTGCATCTGTATAAAATTCAAGTACAAACTCCATTCCACAACCTGGTGTAAAATTATGTGAAACTCTTAATTTGCCTGTCAGTAACATTGGGGGCATTACTTTGAAATTATTTAAACACGGATATATTAAGATTTGAAAACAGTCAGGTTCTTATACAGCTTGGTTTTGTTGTTACTGAATTTGGTTTTATCACATTTCAATATACCATCCTAGTGGGATACACATGAATTTTTCCATGTTGACTCCATATTGTTTCCTTAGTACAACTGTCAAGTTTTTATATAGCCTCATTATTGTTAGTTTTTACTACATTTTACTGTACCATCCTGGTGGAATACAGATGAATTTTACTCCACTGGTTTTGTATTTTTAACATCAGGTTAACTGCCAGGTTTTATTTGTTAACACAGTTGTTGGTGTACAACTGAATATCCAGGGAGTTGTCAGTGTAGTTAGTGGAAATAAAATGGCATGGCACTATATCAGACTTGATTATATTGCAAAATGATGCATATGTATTTCCACTCATATTAGCAGTTGACAGCTAGCATGAATGGCATTTTTACTTGGGGATTCCCTTTGAAAGTATGTAGAGAATTTCTTTTCTGAGTCTCTCTTGGGTGGAATGCAAGGGAGTCAGTATACAGAGGCGTACTGCTGTAAGAGAGTGTAACTGTTTCTGTTATGATGCTGCTGTGTTTCAGGAGCTCCAACTGGCCCAAAACTTTATGAGGACGTAAGCCATTGGGTGTTTCATGGAGTTTATTATCCTCCACTCTTGCGCTCTGCCACCATTAAGAAGTTTATGGTTGGGTATGTAATTCTGCACTTTAGAAAATATGTAACTAATTCTTAAAATTTGGAAGGCTGTTAGATATAATAATCCACTGTTGTGCTCTAGCACTGTTTCTTTGACTGTAGAATAATATCTGAGAAACATTTCAAGTCTTACGTTTCTTGGTCATCATGGATTTTAAATCACTCACATTTTTATTTAGTCAAGGAGAATACTTCTGTCTGATGCTGTTCAAATCATGTTGATGAACTTTGTAGCTTCTTTTAATTTGGTATAATGATATGAACATAGCAGCAACAGGTTTCCCAAAATCCTGTAGTTTCATATTTAACTCATTTAAGTGATACATATCACTGAGAAGCATTAAGGTGGAAATCCATTGTGTATTATCTTACTATGAATAGTGTTATTTTTTACCTTAAAAACAGTTCTGTTTCATTTAGACACTCAGCAAATCAGACACACACACAAAACTGTCACTGGATACTGTTGCAAGTCTCTGTGAGCATACCACAATGAATCATCCTTTTTGAAAACCACTTTAAACTGTCTATTATATAAAGCACTACTTTAGTGACAGTTTTTATTCCATCTTCTATATGATTTGTGACTGACTACATTCAGCACAAATTACTTATTGATAAACAGTATACTGCATTGACATTACTGTGAGATGATTTGTGAATAATAAGTCCCACTTCTTTGCAATCAAGATCTGCACTGATGATGCCTCCAGGTGGGCTTATTCCCAGATCCTTTTGTGCTTGCACACTGACATACCCTTCCACTTGCTGGTGCTTCAGCATAAAGGCTTTGACTTCCAGTATACCCAGTAGAAATAGAAACTATTTTGAAAATGTGTGTGAGACTCTAAATGGATTCACAGCAGCACTACAGTTATCAAGTCGAGTTGCTCACTTGAAATAGTCAATTTGCAGAATTGTTCACAGACTTATTTATCTTTATGGCTAAATGAATTGAAAATGTGATGTCTGTGCTTTTATTTTAATTTATTTTTAGTTGCTCAGAGACATTTTTGTTCATTTTTATTACCCTGTCCCTTCAACGTGTTTTGACTGCTCTGCAGATCTTTGTTGCACTGCAAAAACTTAATCTTATTTTGGAAATATTTAAAACATGTGCCAGTGACTCAACATTGTTGTATTCCAAGTCCCATGTTTGTTAAAGCATTTTATTATTTACTCTTGCATTAAAGAACCTTTTAAGTGTTTTTTTTATGAACAAATGCACCATCTGTCTCTTTTTCTTTTTATCCATGCACCTTTTGACAGTATTTATTGGACTTTGTTTTCAAGATATTAATTTTCCACTTCTGGTTTTCAGAAAACATTGCAGCACTTTCCAGTTCACTCCCTTTCACTTGCACTTGTGATGATTCAAATGTATGTGCTTGGTCTTCATTGTCGAGAGACAGTTGTGTTTACTTATGCTACGGGTACATCCGGAAAACTGTTATTTGCTTTTGCAGCACGTGGTGAGAGGACCTGATGTCAGTTCACAAGTTATAGGGACTACACTTCAGAGCCACAAACTTATCTTAGTGAATGCACTATGAACATTTTTATTCTCTTCTTATTTCAGATATGAAATGCTGGCTCAGTGTCAGAGAGATTTAACTCAGGAGCAAGCTGCAGAGAAACTACGAAATGTACCAGATATCCATTACAAACAAGAAAATGAGTGAAAATATTAATTATGAGAGATGAGAGAAATCCAAGAACAAGCTGCAGAGTAATTACTAACCTTGCTAAAAATTAAAAGTAAAGAATCAAAGAGGTTATTATCTGTCAGCACTAACTAATCCAAATGTACTCCCTTAGCAACAGACAGTTCTGCATGGCTTCCTGTGCATATGCGGCACTAACCTAATCCGATCTTAACTAAACCTACCTGCTTAGCAACTGACCATTGTGCATGGTTGTCTGCTCATGCATTTCACCTTACTTGTTCCAACCTAATCTATCTTACAGTAACGAAACCTAATTTGACCATATCCCCTCACTTACAAACATATCATTGCACACGGCCATTTGCGCATGTGCATCACTACTGACCTAATCTAACGTAACTTAACCAAATCAAAGTTCTTAGCAAATGGCAAATGCGCATGGTTGTTTCCACACATGTGCCATTAACCTAACTAAACTTAGGCCAACATTGACTTACATTAGGTACGCTTTGGTTTCATGCAGAGGCCGGGTCCGTCACAGAGACCATTCATACAGACACTGGTTTGGGTGGGGAGAATTTGAAAAAAATTCTAATTCAAAATTTTTGGAAAATCAAAAAAGTAGGAAAATATCCAAAAAGCGCGCGTAACTAAATTTTTTTGAAAAATTTCGACTTCAAATTTTTAGTTATTTTCGCTTTTCATGCCACTTATAAACATTTTTATAATTTTTAAAATTTTCGAAAAATCAAAAAATGTATGAAAATGTCCAGAAAGCGCACCTGGTCTGCCATGGTCGGTCCATGCCAGACTCTGTCTCTGTTGGATCGTGTCTGCCTGACACTCTCCCTGCCGGACTCCATTTGTAACGGACCTTTTCTCTGCTGGACCCAGACTCTGACTTGCTGGAACTGGTCTGCTGTACATGATCAAATTTATAATTTCTTTTATGAAACTGCCTGAAGTTTCACTACTGTTTTCAAAAGAGGATACTATCCTGTGTCTACAACCTCACATACTATTTCTGTAAGATTTCTAACAATATTATCACCCCACCAATGTCTAGGTCTCACAAATGTTTTGTTCTCCTTAGGTTTCCTGATCAAAATTGTGTGTATGTGTAGTTCTCAGTATACACAATACCTTGTTACTGACAGACTAACTTGTGAATTGCTGATTTGAGTCCCTTATTTTCATCAAAATAAATATTTCAATTGGACAACTAGAAATAAAATGTTCTCAATTCACTATTATAAATCTTGTGAACATATCAAACAGAACTAACATATTTGCAGATCTACATATTCTGAACACAAAAATTAGCCATCAACCCACATGGGAACCTTCAAGTTTGAATAATTCTTCTCTTGTGAGATTTCAGGTTCTCACAGTGGCAAGTATGAAGATGACTCTCTTGAGGGATGTGCCATGCAGTCTGGTAAATATTTACCAATGCTTCAGAGGTGCTTGGTGCCTCCATCATTAGGACGATCTCCGACACCTCAGTAAACTTCTACCAGGCTACACAGCACACCATCCCAGAAGATAGTAACCTTCAACTCTTCTTAATAAATATGACATTTGAAATTTCTGTGATATCAGCAAGTTCTGCTTGATTATAATCTGAGTTTCTGATCATAAAACAACACAATAACATATGTGCAATTTTATCACAATATATTATATTTCATTTCATCAGTACATACCTTAACAATCTACCGAGCACTTTAGAAACTCAAAACAAAATAATGTTAAAAGCAGAATTAATTTTAACCAAGTAAAATACTAGCTAAATCAAACAGAATGGCTTTGTATTATTATACAAAGTAACAAAAATTAATACTCCCAGCTACATACTTATCATGGATCTTCATGGCTTACTACAAGCAACAAAATTGTCTTCATATGGCAGCATTTCCTGCAGCAACTCTGTTCTTCACATCTTCATAGGATGGCAAAGACTGTAATATAATACCTTTATAAATCAAAACAGTAGAAAAATAATTTATATATACATCACTTAGTAAATATGTCTAGAACACACAAAGTGCATTGTTTTTAAGGGCAGATAAATGAAGGACATGTGTAACTTATATGTAGTATATTTATGCATCTGAAAGTAGCTACAGTGAAACCTCTATCTATCGTTCCCGGAACTATCGTTTTCCCGGATGCATCGTCCGTTTTGTTCGGTCCCGAATACATCCCATATAAAATAATGTTACATTTTCCCGCTTCTATCGTTCCTCGAACTATCGTTTTATCGCATCGATCGTTCAAAAATCTTAGTCCCGGCCCACAATTTTCCCGCAATGATCGTTTCTGAGAAATTAAAATGCTGGGTTTTGAGATAAATTAATACCGAAAGACGCACAATGTTTTTGGAATACACAGTAGCGGTAACCTGTTATGTCGCCCAACCAGCACATTCTTTTGGAATGAGGGTCAGCGGTGCAGGGGTGATAGTTGGAGTGAATGGCGGTGCTCATTGTCAGAAATTTTACGATTTTAATTAGGGTGCACTCATATTTCGTTCCAGCGATGCCAGATGGCATGTGCAGTGTGAATTTCTTCACAAATGCTTTTATTACAAGTACAAAGGAAAGGCTGGCGGCACTTTTCATTCTTCTGGTTCGTCTCATTTCCAGTGGTTCAGTGTCTTCTACGGCTACGTTTCGT